TGATTGCTTCCATGCCTGATGATGATTCATCATCTAAAGTGTGTGCTGACATGTGCTGCTACTCTTTGCCTTTTGCTTCTCTGGGAAATATTTCCTAGGTGCTCACTAAAATTTCACATGGATCCATGACTCCATGTATAGACCTCACAGTTAAACGAGTGTCATCATGGCGCTTAAGCCCTGTTTTCCGTTGCTGCATTTTATCAAAGGGATTTTAAACTTCTCTGCCATTGAACGGACGCCTGTAATTTTGGGTTCATTCATGTGGTAACAGTGTGTTACAACATAAGTAATTGCTTTGGCAATATTTTTTAGTAGGTTTTTGGCTTACTGGAGCATGTAGTAGGTAAAAAGGCTGTTGGGAACTCAGGATCATAGTGAGGATCCCATGGCCCATGGGTCCTGCCATTCTGGCATGGCATGCCAAGGATTAGCTTTTCTTAATAAAAATGGAGGGTCTCATAGCATCATATGTAAATGATACTAAAATTTTTGCCGGCATATAAACCTTTATAGTATCTATAGTTAGTAAAACTTGCATTAGTTAGTTTGCCTTCTTTCTACTAATTACAAGATGTTCTAAATATTATTATAGTTCAGATGTAGCACCTTCCAGTGGTTAAATCATATGAAAATGGAATTGTATTATTTAAAAAAAGTCAATTTTGATTGAAATTGGTGTGAACAAGTGCACTCAAATTTAGAAATTCAGTTAATATTTCAAAATTTGCATTACAGACATCATAAGAGCATATGTTAATATTTGCATGTGACATATGTATTCACCAAAGATGATAGCATGATTGTTGGCCCACAGGATCACCGGCTCAGGTGAGTGAACCACTCACCAGTCTTGCCGAGCACCCGCTAGTGTTGCCGAGCGCCCACTAGCCGTGCCGACCACGAACAAGCGTTGTCCGTCCCCACACACTATGGCTAGAGCTAGAAGAAGAAGGGAGAACAGAGCATACACACACAGTACAAGACACCAGCATTGGCCGAAGCCCTGTATGGGAGATGACAAATCTGATCTCTCTTTACTGAGTTGCCGTGGTAGTCTATTTATACAACTCTATCCATCTAGTCCCAGTACAGCTGCCCTGCTGGAACAGTGACTAGATAACATACAGGGCTGACTCTGCGACGGCCTCTGCATGTGGCTACAGTGCTGCAGGTGAGCCGTGCGGCGCCTGCACCTGCAACGGCTACAGCAGGGGGTCTTTCGACGCCGCCTTCCCTTACTGTGTTCACACAAGGTAGTAGTAGATTATCTAACAATGATGAATTCTACCATGTTTCAAAGAAAAAGGAACCTGCCTGTGGTTATGATCCTAAACTTTTATAGTATTACAGTTAGTTAAGGTTGCATTAGTTTAGTTTTCCTTCTCTGTATTAATTACAAGATGTTCTAAATTGTATTATTGTTTAGACATGTATGTTAAAGCCCTTCACTTGTATGACTATCTTTACTAGAACTAGAAGTAAGATGATCCTATCAAATCCTGAACTAGTATTTGCTTTAACTGACAAGAGCTTACGGAGGAAAAGCTATGCCTTGTCTTGTGCTGACTTATGAAGGTATGCCTTGTCTTGTGCTGGCATATCAGAATCCAACTTTAACTATGGATGGAACTTGACTTCCAAACTAGATGTGCATTCTGTGAAAGGTTCTGTTGATATCAGGTTGTCAGAATCTGTTTAGAAATTCTGGAAATCCTATCTACTATTATAATTAAGAGAGCCATTTGATCTACAAGTTCCTATTATCACTTGATATATTTTTTAGGATTTTATCTTAAGAAAACTTGAATTTTTCCGATGATTCACTGGGCAGAGTACCGTTTGTTAGTAGTCAATACCTGCAAATTTAGCTTCTTGTTGCAAACAGTCCAAGATTCCAACATGTGAGTTTGGCTGTTTCTAAACCTTACTATTAATTACAATCCTCAAATGTACATAACTAAATGGATGTAGCTGTTGTATAACTTTTCCTTTTGCAATGGAAGAATGTACCTCTTAGGCACCTACTATCTCTAATAGAGACGCACTTAATACTTTAGGAGAACAACATTTTCTAGCACATTATGTACTCACTAATCTTCTATTGCAAATGAAATGTGACTGCCCTTTTTTTATTGCAAGTTTAAGAGTTAGGAGACATAAATATCTTATTATTCTTGCTGTTAATGTGTAGTTCCATAATTGGTTATAAACAATGTCTTTATGACATATATGCAACACCGCTGGTGGTGGGCCAGAAGTACTTGGTGAAGGATTTATGCTCCTAATGTTGCTTCATTGTCTTCACGTAAGCAGAATCGTTTTTGGAGTCACTAGCATCCATTAACGTGAGATCATGGTACACAAAATATTCATGATTACTGTAATAGGAAGAATACAGATATCTACAAAATTGACTATTCTGTAAGGGATACTACAGATATTCAGACATTCAATGAAGAACTAAATGGCTAAATGCTACCTGGCATTTGAACAAAATGCTGCCCACCTTTTGACAGACATGTTAAGTGTTGCAGTTTTTTTCCATGAGATATGCTCTGATTATAGACTAACTTGCCTACCCCAGTTGATGAGTTATCATAAGAGGTCGATGCACACCAGATTATTTGTCATCCTATGAATCGATTAGAATTTTGAAATTATTCAGTCGTATACTGGGTCATACTGTCTAGTCTATGCTACCATGCAAAAGGTCTGCATGTACGTGTGCTTCCCTGCCTTATGTAAGTATTCTACTATTGCAGTTTCCCATAGAAATGATACATTTGTTCACATTTTGTGTGAAAATGTTTCTTATGCGAGCAAATTAGCTAATGAAGCATGAAGGATGTCATGCAACTTTTTGTAAAGAAATATGAGGAACACTAGTTGCTCGAGTGATTCACATGGAACTTGCAATAATTATTGTCTTACTTTCCATTTCTTGTCATGATCATCGGAATTGTGATTGTGATTTCCCTTTACTATGCAGACTGGGGCGATTGCAAGATAGCAATGCAGTTCTCACTCATTTTAATGAGTATTCCGAACAATGCTTTGCAGAAATGTCTAGTGATTTTGCTAGTAAAACTCGCCTTCTCAAGTCCATGAAGGCTGATCTTGACCATATTTTCACAAATCTAAGGTACCATTCCGTTTCTAAATTTTAATTGCTGTCCCCGTCTCTCTGAATTTTAATCTTCCAGTTGTATCGTGTCCTTGTGCTCAGTTTTTCTTATCCTCGAATTTGCATTTGGTGTCTACTCCTATGTCTAAGATAGAGATAGATTTCCAGCTAATTAGACTTCGTCTTTTTTTGGGTGTAGAGGGATGAAATCTAGGCTAGCAGCTACTTATCCCCCTGATGGTGCCATGTCAAAGACGATGGACCAAAGACCAGACCTTGAAAGTCCTCTGGATTAGCTGGCCTAACATCAAAATTGGGCATATTAGTGACGAGATATGTCGGCATACCTATGAATTATTTAATTCCTCTCGAGGCCTGAAGCAACATATACTGTTGCAGAAAATTCTAGCTTTGAGTGACCTGTGCTTCCGCTTATACAGTTGTATTTCTCTGTGTATTAGAACTGGGCTTAATAGACCAGTATCTTTGTTCTGTTGTAAATATTGCATCTTGGCAAATCTTTTAATTGCCAAGACGACCCTACATCCTCTATTCCTCTTCTTCCCTGTTGTCCTCTGCAGCGGCGGATCCAGGAAAAATTTTAGAGGGGGCTGAACAACACATACCTCCGACTGCTGCTCAATCTTAAGTCTCAACCCCACCTATACTATAGAACTTTGCCTAAAAAATCATGCTCCGGTATGGGGGTGGGGGGGGGGGGCGGTTGGATCCGCCCCTGGTCCTTTGCCTCCCCTTATGATTCTCTCTGTTCTTCTCAGCTGAAAAAAAGGTATGCGCTATGTTCTTCATTGTTGTATGGGACATCATGTCTGGACGTCTGGTCCACTAATCTCTGGTCCAACAATTGACAAGAGTTGAGTTGGATCGCTTCAATATTTAGCGTGGTGTGCACCATGTGTAGCTATTTAAACTGGTGTAAGGGAGATATTGATACCGATTTTTATCGCGCAAACGTTTCTTTCAAGATCAAATTGTTATAGAAAAACCTTTAATACTGGGTGATTCAGAATACCGGGCTATGGGAGATGAATCAGATGTTTACAGACCTCTGCGGAGGTCAAGTTATCCTAGTGATTAATTTTACATACCATTGCCACTTTTTGAAAATTTGTTGCGAAGACCAGTAGAAGATCTCTTAACTTGTTTTTGGGCTATATACATCAGTAGGATTCCGGATTTTCAATTCATAACACAGGTGCCATCGTGGTAACTAATTGAAAAGTCCTTCCAAACTGCCATCTAGAGTATGGCATATGTAGGGTATCCCTGAATTGCTTCACTAATCACTATAAGAAACCTCTGGCTGTCATGCCATGCTACATGAATTTACTTATATTTTTTGGAAGAAAAAAACATTGATAAAAGTTAATATACATATATCGATTTTGGAATCCCACGTGAATCAAACTATTTTACTATATTTTGTTTGTAGCTCTTGCTCATGTATATAAGCCCCCTAATACTCTTGGGGTATTCTCTATCGTACTCTGCAACTGCAATCACAATAAGAGCTCTTGCTCATGCTACAATATATAGCTTGAGGAACCAGAGCTAGGAAGAGCTCTCCCAACCGGGACCTTAATTTACAACAAAGAAGAGCATGGCCTGACAAATCTTGCTTATTTATGGAGCACGAACATTTATCCAATCGTCAATTCGTCATCAGTGATTTGCTTTGATACTGGGATGCGAGACATAATCACAGGTAAGTCTGCTTAACAAATGTTGGATGTTGTGTCTATTATTTTGTTGTCTAGGACTAGGAGTACGTACATGTTCTGATGTTCACCACCTGCCCTCAGCAACACGTACGACGTACCCGGTTGGAGGGAAGGTTCAGACAGCAAGTAAACTAGTCGAAGATTTTCATGGCTGACAGCCGTGCCTCCATGTCGACCTCGTAAGGGAAGCCTTCCTTCTTGTCAACTCTGCGCATCTCCTCCGTGCCGACGTCGAGGAGGAGGAGCCCCTTTTCACCCTTGTCATCCAGGAAATCCCAGCTCATGAAGGGCCGTAGCAAGACTGCTCCGCTCCTCAACCCCGCTGACCTCACGAAGTCCACCTTGCTAGGCCACTCAGACTGCAGCAGCTTGGGCGACATGGACCGAACGATGGCCTCCGTGTCGATCACAGACTGCCGTGCCCAATCGGTGCTGCCGGACAGCAGCCAGATCGATATGGTGAACCTGTCGGCGACGAGCAAGCACAGCCTCCCGTTCGGCGACGACGTCAGGTGGAGATCAGACTCTTCGCAGCGGCCCGGCAGGCAGGCCTTGGGGACCTCAATCGACCCTGTCGTCGTCGCCGCGCGCGTGCCATGTCGAGGGACATCGTAGGTGAGGATGTAAATGTTCGGGGGGCTCCCAAGCCGTCGAGGACGACGGCACAGCTGTGTGGCTGGGCATTGACATAGCCCCGGTAATAGCCACGATGACGATCAGGTTCGGCCACGCTGATGACCGGCCCCCAACTCCATATGCCGGACGACGGCAAGACCTGGATGCAGGAAAAGCTCGAATCCGTGGCGAGGAGAAAGAAGGAGCAGCCGATGCCGTCCGCAGCGGTGAGCAGGACGTACGTGCAAACCCCATACCGGCAAATGTCCAGCGGACGCGAGAGGTACGCCCGTTTGCCGGTCATGGGGTCGTACACGCAGATGGCCGACGACCCGCGGCGGAGCACGGCGAGGCCGTTCCGCGACGTCTGGGGCATGTATCGTCTACTGAGGTCGGCGGCGGCTCTGCGGGACAGGAACGGCGCCAGGTGGTCCTCGGAGAAGGACGTCGCGGCGGGCGTCGCCGGGTGCACCAGGGAGAAGCAGGACGTCCTCTTCTCCCCCGCGTTGTTGTGGACGCGGAGGTAGCCGACGAGGAACGGGGGCACGATGCCGCCGTTTGGTCCGTGCTGGCAGACGCGGCGGATGAAGGCCGGGCTGAGGATGTCGCGGCGGAGCAGACGACCGTGACGACGTCCGACCGCGCAACTATCTCGAGGACAAGGTCGTAAGGAAGCGTGCACGCCGGCGTCGTTGTTTCCGGCGGCGGCAACAGTCGGCCTGTGCGTGACGGCGCCATGGCCCGTCGCGTCTTGCGTGCAATAAGATGAATCTATGCAAATGAGCAAATCTGATGAGGGTATGTCATCTGATGGCTGAAACTTGGTCTTTACGTTATTATATACTCCGATATGATCATATAAATCGTGGGCTCGATCATGGAAAAAGCTAGGAGGAATCCTATTATGACAATGTTGCACATGGGAGCTACGTTTCCTCATATGTTGCACGTAAAAAGTTAGCAATTATATAAGCTTCCATATATATGACGTCAATCTAAGTTGTCGTGACACCTTCTTGCCAAAAAGAAAGGACCTCATCTCTTAGTTTATATTGTGACTTTTCCCTATTTCCATTTAGACCTTGTTTAGATGTAGTCAGATTCGCATCAATCCATATGTGTTGAGTTGGATCAGAGTGGAACTTAAAGTAAATTCCTTACCAATCCACTCCAACACACGTGGATTGAGGTGAATTAGATAGCATCCAAACAAGGTCTTAGAGGGTTGTGCCTTGGGCACCTTTTGAACTCTAGATTGTAGACTGGTTTCTCCAGCACACTAAATTTGTTTTCTATATAAAACAGGATCAATGGTCTTTGGTTTAAAAAAAGTTTATTTACGTAATAAGACTACGAACATATGTTGGAAACACACAACACTCATCCCCCAAACAAAAAAAAGATACTTATATCGCATCATCTCCTCTTCATTTGGTTCATATTTTGGAGCAAAAAAATGCAATACCAATCCTTATATTTGGCTTGGAGTGCTATCTAGATCTCCAAACTTTAAAATTGCACATCTAGATTCTTAAACTTACAGACCCTATCACGTGAGGTTCAAGTCACCATCATTTGAGTTAATCTGACCGCACAACACGTTGATTGCACGATGACATGGCATTTGATATGTGGATGGGGCCCACATGTTGGAAGAGGAGTGGAGATGTGCAGCCTGTTCGGGAGGCCGTATCGTATCGTGGATTATTTACTGCTGGCTGGTTTGGTGTGAGAGAAAAACACTGTTCCTGGCTGGAAATTTACGATCGTTTACGAGCAAGCGAACAGGTTGGTGATTGGTATGTACTCCATCCGTTCCATTGAAAGTGTCGTTTTTACTTCTACACTTCATGTTTGATCGTTCGTCTTATTCAAAAATTTTATGCAAATAATAAAATAAATAAACCATTATTAAAGTATCTTTAATGATAAAATAAGTCATAACAAAATAAATAATATATATATATATACTAAAATTTTGAATAAGACAAACGGTAAAAAAAAAGTCTAAAAGTAAAAAAAGAAACTTTCAATGGACGGAGGGAGTAGGCCCCACATGTCTGTGCAATTGTCATGTCTAATCAACATGCTAGATAGGTATATTAACTCAACTTATGGTGATTTAGATCTTCTATCGCATGATTAGTAACTTTAAGGACTGGATGCCAGGGCAAGTTCGAGGGTTGACGTGCATTTTACTCGATAATTTGTATTTCCATCAATCACCTTTTGTGACCGTTGGTGGATTGGTGAACACCTGCCTACGATGCCTATCTTGATCCACATCATATCATTCTCGATTGAAACCTTATCAGACAGATCTAGCCAGTGGCTAGAGGACAGAGCCAGAGCTACGTACCAATCATGTTCTCACATCTTCACTGTTCTCTTTCCGAACTGTCGTGATGTGACTGATGTCCATCAATTTCGGCAGGGGCTAATCGATCTTTTTTTTTTGTTGATAAAGAATCGATCTATTTGTTACTACGTGCTTGAATTATACTCCCTCCGTCCCATTGAGTTTGTCGCTCGGGAAGCGGGATTGTGAGGGGGGCACGGTTTTCAAACGACAAACTCAATGGGACGGAGGGAGTATGGTGGCAAGCTCAGTTCAACCGACACCATCGATTCAAGCGACACCAACCTCGAAACCAATTTGACCCAACAAAAAACCAAACCATAAAAACCGATTCCGGCCAACCATTACCAGGTTTAATGGTCGCGAGTTCTATTTAGAGGTTGTTTGATTCTGCCTTTAGACGCCTAACCACGGGTGTAGTAGCGCAACACATAGCCTGTTCGTTTACTTTTTTAGCGAAGGAACATTGTTTTTCTCTCACAACAAATCAGCGAACAGTACTTTCAGCTTGTCTTTATAGCGTGAGATATTAGGCAACCACACTTACTTCATAGCAAAAGCTTATAAATCCCGCACTCTGTGGCGCCAAATTCAACGCCACAAACTTTGGCGCGGTCGTATTTGGGGGTGTGGCAACTCATGGATGGCATCAATCATGCCATTAGTTACCATTATAAAATATCTTGCTCGCCCGTGTGGTTGTGGCGGCTCGCCCACTCGCCTCCCTAGGAAATGCGGCGGAATCCACGGCGTTGCTAATGAAGAAGAAGATGATTTTTTAAATAACCTCTTAGGAAGTTTATAAATATTTATGTAATTTATGTGTCTAGGCGATTTTATTTATAACCCATGCTAATCTTTTATTTCAAGCATTCAAATCGTATCGTTGCACGAGGACACGAGTCCATTTCCGTTTAGATAAATATGAGACCGAGACCAAGTTTAAAATCTGGGACAACACAATTTGTAAGTCCAGTGGCGGAGGTGACACCTCCCACAAGTTTGACGACAAGCCCTGTGAACTCTACTCTCTGGTCTATTTGGAAAAGAGGTGTTGGGCTCCTCATGGGTGGAGGAGAAGTTGGGCTCTTGTTACAAAGGCCTTAACGTGGGCCTCAGATAGTCCTCTCTTCTTTAGCTTGTAGCCCACTCGACCTGACCCCGACCGATAAACCCTTTTTCCCGTCGCTTCGGCCCCCTTCCACCCCTCTTTACTGCAGCCGCTCTTCCCCACCATTGTCCCCTTCGCTCAATTTCTCTCCCACTCGTCCACCCCTGCGCCTGCTCCCGCCATTGCGCCCCCCGCTCACCAACCCAAACCCCCCTCCGCTCCCAAACCCTAACCCTAGTCCGCGCCCGGCGGACCGACGATGCCGAAGGCCGGCGGCGGGGCGGCGGACGAGGAGGAGTTCCGCGCCGAGGTGGAGGAGCGCCTCATCAACGAGGAGTACAAGATCTGGAAGAAGAACACGCCCTTCCTCTACGACCTCGTCATCACCCACGCGCTTGAATGGCCCTCCCTCACCGTGCAGTGGCTCCCCGACCGCACCGAGCCGCCGGGGAAGGACCATTCCGTCCAGAAGATGATCCTCGGCACGCACACCTCCGACAACGAGCCCAACTACCTCATGCTCGCGCAGGTCCAGCTGCCCCTCGACGACGCCGAGGCCGACGCGCGCCACTATGACGATGACCACGCCGACATCGGGGGGTTCGGCGCCGCCTCTGGCAAGGTGGACTTTCTTCCCCCACCCTTCCCATAAACTCTCCTTTGCGTATTACTCGATCTCTCTGGCGTGAACTGATACTATTGAGTGATGCCCCGTGCCATGCCGTGGTGAAATTTAGTTCCGTCTTGATCCGCGTGTTCGCTCCTATGTGGGGGCGGGTACCTGCAAATTTGTATAACAAAACAGGAGGGATTTGTGTCGATTTTCTCTGTAATTGCTCCCTTAGGCTTCAGCTAAGGATGCTCGCTACAGCACACAATTAGATAACTTATTTCTTGCGACCATGATGCTTGGTGGGATCTAGGAGTCATTGCAGTTGCCGGGTTCTAACGTTGCCTTAATTATGATCTCGGTCCATCTATTTGGCATGTTGTTTTCGATGGTAGAGTTGTGTGTCAAGGAACTTTCTATAGTTTGCTTTGTAAATAAACACGTGAGTGTTGATTAGTGTTCTTTGTACAAGTGGAGTGGACCATTTCCGTTTAAAGGTTAAAAGGTCTTTTGTTGTTACATGTGAAACTGGTGCTATGGTGGATTCGTGTAATGATTGGCATTTTATCATATATACTAGTTGCTTATTATTTATTGTTCCTTGTTACTACAATGTGCTGAACTATGTCCTACAAAAGTACTGAATATGGCTTTAGTTGATTTAGCATCTTAATTTGGCAATTTAGTGGTGGCATCTCCAGTTAAGGATCATATTGTTCCTCTTCTTTCTTGAGAACAACTGGTGAAGTGGGGACAAGCTATCCCCATTTTCCTTTCTTGTGGAAAGCTCAGCTTTAGGAAGTTTTTCCTGTGCAAATTAACCTTTAGCCTTCCAGATAGCTGTGTTTTTATGTGAATACAGGAGCCTAGTTTTTCGCTCCCTCTTTTGAAGCCAGGATTTTATTTCTTATACATGTTCAAGATGAAGTCTTGAACCTTGGACTTGCACAGTTTATCCTCTCCTTTTTTTTTGCATTTTATTGTTGAGTTGTGCATGTTTGGGTATGGTTGATATATTTTTTCTATAATTGCAACTTCCAATATGGAGGCTGCATTTTTTTCTTCTGGGTGACCTATCCACCTCCACCACCACCCCTCAAAATAAATCCCATTTTATGCCAATATTTGGATTTTGCTATGTATAATGCTCAAAGAGTAATTGTGCAATTCGCTGCTGAGCTGGCATCTGTTTGTTTGGCTGCCTGTTCATTCTGGGGTTTGGGCCTATAAAGCATAACCCAACTCAATCGCAGCCATATCCGTATGTAAGCCCAATGATTGAAGGAACCTATTAAGCCTTCTAAACCTACTTCTTTAGCTTGTAGCCCACCCGACCTGACCCCTACCGATAAACCCTTTTATCCCATCGCTTCGGCCCCATTCCACCTCTTTACTGCAGCCGGCCTTCCCCACCATTGTCCCCTTCGCTCAATTTCTCTCTCACTTGCCCACCCCTGTGCCTCCTCCTGCCATTTCGCCCCCGGCTCACCAACCCAAGCCCCATCCGCTCCCAAACCCTAACTCTAGCCCGCGCTCGGCGGACCGACGATGCCGAAGGCCGGCGGTGGGGCGGCGGACGAGGAGTTCCCCGCCGAGGGGGAGGAGCGCCTCATCAACGAGGAGTACAAGATCTGGAAGAATAACACACCCTTCCTCTACGACCTCGTCATCACCCACGCGCTTGAATGGCCCTCCCTCACCGTGCTGTGGCTCCCCGACCGCATCGAGCCGCCGGGGAAGGACCACTCCATCCAGAAGATGATCCTCGGCACGCACACCTGCGACAACGAGCCCAACTACCTCATGCTCGCGCAAGTCCAGCTGCCCCTCGACGACGCCGAGGCCGACGAGCGCCACTAC